ATATGTTCTGTAGGATTCTATTGTTGGAAAGTCATTTTCTGAAAAAATTGGTCTATTTGGTGTTGGTTGTAGCAAAATAAATAAATAATAATAATAAAATATATACAGTGGGTACGGAAAGTATTCAGACCCCCTTAAATTTTTCACTCTTTGTTATATTGCAGCCATTTGCTAAAATCATTTAAGTTAATTTTTTTTCCTCATTAATGTACACACAGCACCCCATATTGACAGAAAAACACAGAATTGTTGACATTTTTGCAGATTTATTAAAAAAGAAAAACTGAAATATCACATGGTCCTAAGTATTCAGACCCTTTGCTCAGTATTTAGTAGAAGCACCCTTTTGATCTAATACAGCCATGAGTCTTTTTGGGAAAGATGCAACAAGTTTTTCACACCTGGATTTGGGGATCCTCTGCCATTCCTCCTTGCAGATCCTCTCCAGTTCTGTCAGGTTGGATGGTAAACGTTGGTGGACAGCCATTTTTAGGTCTCTCCAGAAATGCTCAATTGGGTTTAAGTCAGGGCTCTGGCTGGGCCATTCAAGAACAGTCACAGAGTTGTTGTGAAGCCACTCCTTCATTATTTTAGCTGTGTGCTTAGGGTCATTGTCTTGTTGGAAGGTAAACCTTCAGCCCAGTCTGAGGTCCTGAGCACTCTGGAGAAAGTTTTCGTGACGGCCAGCTTTAGGAAGGGTTCTGGTCATCCCAAACGTCTTCCATTTATGGATTATGGAGGCCACTGTGCTCTTGGGAACCTTAAGTGCAGCAGAATTTTTTTTTGTAACCTTGGCCAGATCTGTGCCTTGCCACAATTCTGTCTCTGAGCTCTTCAGGCAGTTCCTTTGACCTCATGATTCTCATTTGCTCTGACATGCACTGTGAGCTGTAAGGTCTTATATAGACAGGTGTGTGGCTTTCCTAATCAAGTCCAATCAGTATAATCAAACACAGCTGGACTCAAATGAAGGTGTAGAACCATCTCAAGGATGATCAGAAGAAATGGACAGCATCTGAGTTAAATATATGAGTGTCACAGCAAAGGGTCTGAATACTTAGGACCATGTGATATTTCAGTTTTTCTTTTTTAATAAATCTGCAAAAATGTCAACAATTCTGTGTTTTCTGTCAATATGGGGTGCTGTGTGTACATTAATGAGGAAAAAAAAATTTACTTAAATGATTTTAGTAAATGGCTGCAATATAACAAAGAGTGAAAAATTTAAGGGGGTCTGAATACTTTCCGTACCCACTGTATATTTCATAAAAAATATTTCAAACTATTTGTTAACTATAAATTCAGCTATTGGGAAAAAATAAGAGACCACTTGAAAATTCTCAGTTTCTTTGGATTTACGATTTTTAGTTGTGTATTTAATTCTGTAAGCTACTGCCAATGGCCTCGTGGGCAGCGCGCCGCAAATATAGTGCCTTTGCGCTTCGGGTGTCCCGAGTTCAAGTCCCGGCTCGTGGACCTTTACCGATCCCCCCCCCCTCTCTCTCTCTCTCTCTCACCCACTTCGCTTCCTGTCGACCTGCTGTCCTATCTAAATAAAATGCCAAAAATAAATCTTTAAAAAAAAATAAAAAATTCTGTAAACTGGTGATGACAATTCTTCCCAATTTTAAATCAAAATGTCATGTAGAGCATTTTTCCCCCGCATAAAATGACAATTGGTCAAAATAAGAAAAAAAGATGCCATGTTTTGAGACATGTTTACTGTATATTCATCTTTAGACAACACAATAACAATGTTTTAACTTCAGAAGAGTTGAGATATCAATATTTGGTGGAATAACGCCTGATTGCCAATCACAACAAATGAAAACCTTTGTTTATTTAAATTTTTTGGCCAATTGTCATTTTCTGCAAAAATGACAAAAAATAAACGAAAAAGCTACAATATTTTTATTTGAAAGAAATGTTATCAAACCTTTATAGAATAAAACAAATATGAACATTTTCCTCAAACCCATACCTAGTGAATCCAGTAAATCCAGAAAAGCTGAGAATTCTCTTCAGTTTTTCCAGAGCTGTATGGGGTGATTGTACTTTACTGTTTTATTTTCATGTGCAGCAGCACTGAATTCCCACTGCTCTGCTCATTACATTCTAAAGACTGCATGGAATTGGAATACAATGTGGACTTAAAATGATAACAAACTATGACCTAATTAAACGCAGTTACTCTGACACTAAGCAGAGGTTGTGTTTTTACAGTGCTCCTGTACGTGAGGAAGGAGTCGGATGAGGTGTTTGATGCTCTGATGCTGCGGATGCCCACTCTCAGAGGACTCATGGATGCAGTGAGTATCTACTCGAAATGACTGATTAATAGAGGTGCAAAATGAAACAGTGCATCGATTCAGTGCAAAGATTCATTTATTCAAAGTAATGAAATCTTAGTGAATACTGAACAAATTGATCAGATCATTGCTGATGTGATGACTGATATATGATTTAGTGATGATTTCTTTTATATCGACAGATTTCAGAGAAGTACGGTGTTCCTATTGACAGAATGGCCAAGATTTACAAGAAGAGCAAGAAAGGGTAAGTGATTTCTTGAAAAAAATAAAATCGACATCATAAGAGAACATGTTAGATTCAGATGACGGCTAATAAGCCTGTTGTGATTTTGTTTCTTCTCTCCGTTGCAGGATCCTGGTGAACATGGACGACAATATCATCGAGCACTACTCCAATGAGGACACATTTATCCTGAGTATCGAGAACTACGCAGATGCTTACAAAATCACATTAACGGAAATATGAACACCAGCACATGCATTTCTAACATTCAGTATGTTTAAGCTAAAAGACTTCAGCCTGGTCAGATTCAGCATCAACTGTCCTTAAATTGAATTGACATCAGCTAAAGCTGACATACCTCATTTTTAAGAGACCTTAAGTATGATTTTTAATGGTCAATAGGAGTTTCGGTGCATCCCAAACATGTCCACATGTGGATTGAAAGACTTTTGCTATCTTTGGCTTCACTTTTAAGGACTATTTCACATTTCACTTGGCTTTGGAGACCACCATCAGAGTCCTGCCTGAAATTTCAACTGTTCCTTCCGAGGGATTTCACTGGAGTGGAGTGAGATGAAATACACGATCTCTTCATCACATCAAAATGCTGTGCATACAGTGTGTATATTCAACAAAAGCAAGCGTCCATTGGAATTATAATGCTAAGATACATTTGCTTGCAGCAAAAATATGAATTTGGGACTTCTCTGTAGAGTTCAAGACTTCTCTTGCAGAGCGACTTATCTGTGAAAAGTGTCCAGTACTGTCAATGTTATTTTTGCGTGTGTGTATTATGTTGCCATTAATATTATTGTGAATGTTAGCTTGGTAGATATGATTCAGCTTCTTACTGACTTTTTTTTCCTGATGCAAAAAGAAAGCTATTTTTATGAGACTGTGCCATTTCAAGTTTTTTTGTGTGTGCTTAATAGAGCAAAGCTGTAATGTTTAACTGTACAGTACCGCATTTGATCAAAGTTCCATTGGTTTCAAATGCAAAAGATTTCACGACCTTTTGGAGATCTGAACATGGATCTTCACATTAACAGCAGAGGTTTTTCCCTTTTGCATCAAAATACGAGTGTCTCTCACAGTTTTTGTCATTATTTTTGAAATAACTGTGTGGTCTTAAAGCCTGGTCCATTTCTAGTGTTTGTGTGTACCATTAACTGTAGTGCAGATTCAGTTGATCGGCACCATTTTGAACTGTTGTAATGTTTGAAAATCATTGTCTTCCAAACGAAATAATGTAAAAGGGCACTTCAGAAATAATCATTTGTATGTAAATAAATGCATTTTTATCAAGATTTGATTGGTTTTTCACACTACAACTAAAGGGATTGTTTACCCAAAATTTGCTGAAAATGTACCCAACCCTCAAGCCATCCAAGATGTAGATGAGTTTGTTTCTTCATGGGGTGAAATGTAGCATTGCATCACTTGCGCACCAATGGATGCTCTGCAGTGAATGGGTGCCGTCAGAACGAGAGTCCAAACAGCTGATTAAAAACATCACTGTGACGAGAGGGGCACGGCCGAGAGCCGTGGGAACGGAGCGAGGCCGATGGAGGAAATGCTAATGCACGACACCTGCGCCACTCACCGGTCTTGAGTCCCACGGAGGAGCTCCGGAAGGATAAAAGGAGGAGTGACGACAGTGTTGGAGGAGAGAGGACCAGGCCTGGACTTTATTTTGTGTTTTGTGTGCGGCAGTCGTCCACGAGGGGCTGCCGCTTTACTTTCATTTTGTGTTTGTTTATTTTATTAAATTGTTTGTGTTCACCGGTTCCCGCCTCCTTCTTCCCGGGACTACGAACTTGGTTACAATCACAAGTCATCCACACCACTCCAATCCATCAGTTAATGTCTTGTGAAGAGAAAAGCTGTGATTGTAAAGCAAATCCATCGAGACCATTTAAACTGCAAACCATTGCTTTCAGCTAAAATCCGCGTCCATAATCCATAATCCAAAGTCCATCCACTGTAGTTTTCTCACATCAAAATCAACAAACATATTTGTTTAGAGCTGTTATGGCTTGTAAATGGTGTTTGATCGGTGCAGATTTCTCTCCCGATTCAGACTAGACAAAATTTGAAGCAATAGTATGGACAGAGTACTCATTTTTATTTCGTTTGAAGTTAAAAATGTGTTAAAGATGGATTTGTTTCTGACAAACACACAGCTTTTCACGTCACAAGACGTTAACTGGTGGACTGGAGTGGTGTGGATTACTTTTAATCAGCTGTTTGGACTCTCATTGTGACGGCACACATTCACTGCAGAGCATCCATTGCTCCAAATCTTTTCAGATGAAGAAATAAACCCAACTACATCTTGGATGGCCTGAGGGAGAGGACTTTTTCAGCGAATTTTCATTTTTGGGTGAACTACACCTTTAACCCTGGATTAATAACTTCTTATATTCATGTAAGACCATCAAACACCAAAACATTTTTCTTTCTTAAGATTTTTATCTATGATATAACCAAAACAGATACCTGCGTTCATAATATCTACACTCACACAATGTACAGGTTACCATATAAAATCTACAAAATGACGACGACAAACATTCAGTCTGACAGATAACAGTTGTACAGCTGATAGAACACTGTTTGTTTTGCCATATATATTCATCTGTGTTTGGCACTTGACCACATGTTGCTGTCTTCTGTGGTTTAGAAATGAAATGCCAGATGCTAAATAGATTTTACGAAGGAGAACCTACAAACGTAAATGATCCGTTTTGAATTCAAGCTCCTTTGCGAGCTGTTCTTATCAGCGTGTGGCTGAGGAAAGTTTGATCGTTACAAACCTCGACTTCACAGAAACCGCAGAGAGTTTCCAATGGCTATCCATCTTACATGTGATCCCTCAGATATGATGTGGTTTGCATGTGAGCGAGTGTTGTGAAGTGCTAAAAAGTATATGCCATCCATTTACACAGTCCCTTGCATTTAAAACCCTGAGGTTGTGTAGAAATATTCTTACACATTAATATTTTACACTCCAGTTGTCATGTCACTGACTGCACACTGATGAAATGTACAGTATGCATAGACAAACACTGGATAAACACACGAGTACTCAAAAAGCATCACATACACACCACATACACACACATACTCATCCTGAAATGTACAGAATGTCCCAGTAGATGCAGAAAATACATTCAGTTTGAGGTGTACAGCGTGCAAAATGATTTGAGCCGGATAGAAAAATAAAGAGCTTAACCGAATTCTAAGGCCAAGATTCAGTCAAATATGAATAGTACTTGAACTAGTCGCTCGTGCTAACCTGTAGTATTTGTTCACAGCCGATGGTGTGGGCAGGAGATTGACTGAATCGAGGTTTGGATGGAGTAGAAAGTGTCTGGAAAGCTTGAGGTGAATGTGTCTGGCAGTAAATGCATGTGGCAAGGTCTTTGCTGTTCACTGTCACAGTCCTACATACATATGCTTTTACTGTACAAATGATTCTTTGAAACAAAAGAAAATGTCATATATCAATAAGAATTTTTTTTTTGTGGTGTGATAAATTCTCACTTAGCCATCAAATTAAACCATACATTATATATCTACAATTTTTTTTGTTTAATACTTCTTAATGTTTCTACTCTGTTGAAGCAGCAAGATCAATATTATTGTTGTCCCTATGAAAATATTTCTTTGTTTTATGATATTGTCCAACTATTTGCTTACTGTCAGTCCTATGCAGTGAGTATTAATGTTAAAATTATTATTATTTTTTTAAGAATTATTATTATTATTTTTATTTCTCCTGATGCTCATTAAAGGAGCACCATCACGATAAACTTGACCCCATCCACCCTTTTAAGAATCTATCACAGGCTCTAAAATCATAACGCAAGAAAAAAAATTCAAGTAAAAAAAACTGATATGTCGCCCAAGTGACTCTCTTTTAAATAGAAGTTTGTGCTGAATGGAACTGAAATACTAGGAACACTAGGAATGACATTTGTTTGTGTAAAATTATTTAATTGATTCAATTCTTAAATAAGCTATATTTTGCGGTTTCGAAAGTTTGACAAAGTGTCACATTATCTGGTGCATTTTGCACACTTGGAAAATTTAGCTTCGACTCCCTCTCTGTTATTATTTAAAGCTCTTTTCGAAGGGGTTTATTTCAGTACCAAAAGCTTACAACAGGATGTGATGTCACCTGCATCACTGCCTGTTGTGTTAAATCGCAAAAAGCCTTATATGAGGACTTCAAAATACAGAGAGACGCATGAACACAAGCTTGTGTATGATCTCTGTATGTCCGGTTCTCACCGTTACCTGATCGGTGTCTGTGGGGAAATAATGTTCTCATGCGTGGTGTTCAGCGGGAAACCCACAGACACTGAGATAGGGCCGTGGTTTTGGAGTCCATGCTCTGCTGATATTTGAAGGAGAGCGAACACAGAAAGACTTGCGGAAGAGAGGTTACGACTGCTGAGTCACTGTCCCGCACTGCTGGGGTCGCACTGCAACAGTCGCACGATGGACGGGTCGCTCTTTGCACCCTCCACAAACTCTTCGAGTGACAGCTTACCTGAGGGGCAACACAGGGTTTTCAAAGGTCAAAAATGTGGTTGATTAGCCATTTGAAAGCACTTTCATATTTAAAGCAGTTATTTTCGCAAAATGCTAACGTTTAGGAGGCCTCTTAAACTTAAATGTCAATATAATTATCCTCGTAGAAGTACACTTTAACATACTTTTAAAAAGAGTACTTATTATTTTGTAACATTTAATAGCATCAATTAAATGAAAAGCATTATAGTTTAAATTTATTTTAAATGCAGTTAGTTGAACTTTAGAGTGCTTTCTGACCCACTTATATAGGGCTTAAGTACATATTTATATCATTTCATAATTCATTTTATTGTCTTAGAAATATGGTACTGGCATATGGCTCGATCTCACGGCAGTTCGTACATATTTTACGAGGTGGCTAATTCGTACAACCTCACTCGTCCAAATTCATACGATTTTTGCTAAATCGTACGTCTTTTACGAGTTGCACAATTCGTATGAATTTGTACACCTAACCCCGCCCCTAAACCTACCCGTCACTGGGGTGCAGACAAATCGTACGAGTGAGGTCGTACGAATTTGCCACCTCGTAAAATATGTACGAATTGGTCGTGAGATAGCGTTGGCATATCTGTGACAAAAATATAGATGTAATTAAACACATGGAATGATGAATTCGCAATATAGTGCATTTACAATACTGTATATAAACCTTAAAATGTAATTATATCAAATAACTCACTACAGTGAAAATTATAGTCAAGTAATTTATATGTACTTTAGTATGCTAGTCAACACATCAAAATAAGTGTTTCTTTAAAACATATTTTAAAAGTGAAACTTTTAATTTGACATTATTACAAAGTGCACTTTTTAAAAGACTATTCGAGAGTGTTAAAAACATTAAAAGTGTAATGCTATATTAAATTATCTGCAAGAACAGTTTAAAAAAAAAAATATCTTAAAGGGGTCATATGATGCGATTTCAAGTTTTGCTTTCTCTTTGGAGTGTTACAAGCTGATTGTGCACAGATAAGATCCCTGAAGTTGCAAAGACTAAAGTCTCAAAACCAAAGAGATATTCTTTATCAAAGTTAAGACTCTGCCACGCCCCCCTAAAACGGCTCGTTCTAACACGCCCCCACATATCTACCTCACTATGTGGAAATATTAGCATAATGCGCCCAAATGTGCACGCAAAGAAAGAAGGTGTGGTTTCAGTAACCGCAGTTAGTGTTGAAGCAGCATGTCAGGGAGACGCTGTGTGTTTCTAGACGAAAGCAAAAGCACTTTATTTGGCCTTCCAGAAGTAGATGCATTTAGGAATCTTTAAGATTACTTACAACAGAACAGCAATGCATTTTATGGACAACCGTTTCGTGAACCTAGGAGAGGAGGTAATTCTGACTTTGCTATGACAATCTGGCGCTTCTAAATCAGCTACT